CACCTTCATTTACACCTTTGCCGCGACTGCTCTCATCGTCTGCGGGATCTACGTGTTCCCTCCCCAGTGGCAGATTCACACCTTTGCCACCATCTTCCCCCTGGGCGTCTCCATCGTGTCGCATTTTGCGCTTCCCGTGCTCCTGAACCCGGCCCTGATGAAGTTTACCTTCTAGGGCCGGCCACCTTTTCACGTGCGCGATTTGTTCTTCGTTTCTTCCTCTATGATGAGCACAGCCTCTGGGTATCATAAAATTAGGGTCTTTAGACGGAGTTTTCATTCTGGCAATGAGGAGTTTTGGGGGTCATAGACTTTTTGGTACACAATTGGACACAACCGCGGCCATAGAGGCCTTCCCTTGCCGCTTTACTCTTTGGGGGGGGGGGGAATCGTTTATCAGGCGATATGAATATAATGTCTCTTGTTTGTTTTGGTTTAGAATAGGCATTCGGTCCAACAACTCATGAAATGAGCCATTCGAAAAACAAAAATCCCAGCGCATGGTCGTCTGCCAATACGGTGTCTTTTCTCCTCGCTGCTCTTTTGTTCCGAAGAGTGACAATCTAAAGACCTGCACCCATAGCTCTGGTTTTACCCACGACAGACCAAGATGCCGCTGGCAAGTGGGCTTGAGGATCTGGGGCTTCCGGCCCCGACTCAAGGCGATCGTTGGCTACAAACCCCACACGGCTGGTGGAAAAGGAACAGTGTATACCGTCGCTTTGGCAGGTTTCTCGCGACCTTCGGGCCTTGTATGTAACGGTTGACGGGGCAGGAACAGAGTAACAGAGGGGGCGTCCTCGCGAAACCGGTGTCTTGAACACCAGCCCTCGTCCGTCTGAGGAGCCAGGCAAGGGGGGGGGGAGGGGGATTCCTTCGGAATCTTGAAGGAGGGCGAGTACCCTTGGCTAGACCACAGTCTCTCGGTTTGTTGCAACGAGCGACTGGTCACGGTCTTGAATGACGGCAAGTTACATCACCAGAGGGCAGGACTTGCTGCTCGGCCAATCCGTCGCAGTGGCTCTCCCCAAGTCCCGATGCTACTATTGTGATGGGTGCAAAGGGCGGAAGACAGGGCCAACACGGTATAAATCAGCGGACGATAGGAAACATTTCCAAGATTGACGCTCAGCTATTTCTTTTTCTTCTCATCTGATATGGTGCTATGCTCTTTGTGGATGAGTGAGTCGTATCTTTGATTGCCTCCCGGTCCGCTTTCCCCGTGTTGCGCCTGAAAACTCCACGAAACAACCTATAAACGCTGATATGAAGCAATATTGATAATCTGGTGTGTGGTGGCACTGAAAAAGAGATGAGATCACACCGTCACCGAGCCTTGAGGCTGGCCTGGCACACAGAAGGGCTGCAGCCCTCGTGTTTCTGCCACGGAGTTCACGTAATGAAGACCTTCTTGAGCTTGTCCATGGGGTAGACTTCGCCAGTGCGCAGATCCTTGACCTGATCTGGCGGCAAGCCCGACTTCTTGGCATACTCTTCGAGGCGCTCCTTGCCATAGGCCCGGCTATTCGGCAACAGCAGCAGGTCGTGCTCGACGTAACTCTTGGTGTGATGCGCGTAAGGGACGTTACGAGCGAGGTCGTTGAGTTCTGTCGAGCATATCGGGCAGACGGACTGCGTGCCGGCGGTGGCCGACGCATTGGTGGCAGTGTTGGCGTCTGCCGCGACATGTGACGAGTTCAAGGAATGGCAGGCAGGGGTCTTGAGGGCAGAAAGGCCTGACGAGAGAGCAATGTGCAGGAGGGGATAAGAAGGAAGGGCGAGGAGATTATTGTGGGTGCGGGTGAAAAGCTCCGCGAGGGCGTTCCAGCGGTCTTGGCTGTATAGGTCCGAGTAAACGGCATTAGCAGCTGTGGGAGGGTAGGCGAGGAGGCCGAAGGCCTTGCGAAGTTCGTCTGGATACGTCGACTTAAACGGGACAAGGTACTTCTTCGCGTGCGCGATGGCCTCGAGCAGTTTGGGTTGTGATTGGGTGCGGACGAGCTCGATGTACTGTTGGAAGCGGAGCATGAACTCAAGGTTGCTCTGTTGTAAATTTGGTCAGTCTCAACTCGAGAATAGGGCGGATGGCAAAGACGTACATCCATCTTGCGGAGCTCCTTCTTGTTGTCTTGGCACCAAGCCAACGCCTCGACGACGCTCCCGCTTCTAAGCGATTCCTGAATGCGGCTCATATGCACAAAGGTCTCGACGTCGACCAGGTCATCCATGTTACGCTCGGCGGTAAGTGCCTGGGCGCTTTCGTTATAACCCTGGCGAAGCAGGTAGTCGACAAGCAGACGGTCGAGACGTGCGCGGCTCCAGGCCTCGTACTTGACGTCGTCGACCGAGTGCATGTTGTAGAGGTCGCCAAGGTGCGAGATGCGAGCGCCGGCCTGGCGGGTGAGGCGGGCCTCCTCTTCGGCATGGGCAGTGAGCTTGCGCTTGACGCCGCGCATGCGGGCGATCATGGTATCGAGGTTGCGGAGGACATCGTCGGGAGATGCGCGACCGTTGACCGAGGCCGTGGCGGTCTCCTTGAGAAGGGTCTTGACGGCAGTCGAGTCCTTTTCGACGGTGAAATGGGCGGACCGAAAGTTTTTGCGAAGGAGTTCGTACGGGAGACGGAGGAGGGGTTGGTCCTATCGGTTGGAATAGGGGGGTTAGTGCTGGAGTTTGAGCTAGCTTGTGGTACAGCGACCGACGTACGAGGAGGAGATGATCCTGGTGCTTTATCGTCGAGTGCTCGTGATCGCCCATATTGGCAACCGTCCTGGAGGTGTCAGTGGGCTGATAGTACTGCTTGGCCGTTCACAGCGGCATGTGTGTCCTCGAAGGAGGGATTCGCGAAGGCTGGCCTTGTCGGTGTGACTGGAGTGGTTGTTGGAAACCCGCGGCTAGGAGGTTGAAGCACAGATGCACAGATACGGCCGCTAATAGCAGTTGACGTTATGCGGCCCGATGTGGCGGGGCCGGAGTCGCTCCGTATCAAGATGACTTTGGAGAGAGTCGGCTTACGTTACGACTAAGGTATTGGAAGCTGGCATGGTCATAAGTCCACTTAAAGTCGCTTGCAGCATCACTTTTGCATTTTGCTGAGCTAAAGTCCATTGCGTAGTGTAGTATCGATACTTGCTATCAAAAGGTCCCAGCATGTCCTCTGGTCCCCCACAATGACGGACCCCAGCACTGGCACACGACGACTGAGCTGTTCTGGGTGCACGAGCCACATCTGTGGCTCGGTTCGGTCTACGTATCACTACCCCACCCAGGCGCGTCTTCTTTCCCGTCCCCTCAGCCACACGTCACTCGCTCATTGTAAGAGGTAAGCGGGTGTGCAACGCGAGAGAGGTAGGACAACAACCTCGCAGGCAGTGACTTACAACGGTGAAAACCACTGTGGAGCCGCCGTATCTGTTGCACTTCGAGTTCAAAGTGGAATGTCTCACAGCCCATCAGTCAAGTGATTCATGTTGGCAGCCAACGAGGGCATCAGATGATTGGTAAGGCTCGGTATTCGCAGTCGCAGAGTTGGCGAGTGGATGCGACGAGTCGAGGCTAAGGCAGAGGAGCAAAGAGCCCGGGCCCCTCCTCACACGGGCGGGTGGAAAGCTACCCCTGCTGCCGTTTGGGATTGTTGTCCATCTCTAACGTGAGGCATGGGCTCTTTCACACATTAATCGATAAGTCGCAACAAGCAACACTCGCATTGCTGGCCTGGGATGCTGTTGCGGCAGGTGCCCCTCTGCAGGACGGGGATTGGATCGGGGCACTCGGGGAAGGAAGCACCAGTAGTGACCGAATGCCTGGGGGTGTGGCTTCCCAGCCCCTGATTGGCTTTGTGCACTGCGTGCCTCAGGCCAACAGCCTCCCTCACCCTCAAGCGTATTTATCTCCAGCCTCACCCACTTTGCACGTGTTCACCCTCTTCCTTTGCCGCGTGACCAGAGCTTCCCGCCGCCCCCCCAAACCAACAAGTCATCTCAACTGGCCTCCTTCCAGTCTATTTCCTCCTCAGGAACTAATAAGAATAAACGCAAGCCTTCGCCCAGGCTGTGGCAATCCTCAAGATTCGCGAGTTGTGAAAAAATCCGACGCGTTTTCCTTGTATTCTTCCACCACTCGATCTTCAGCTGCTTGTAACTGGACGGGCTCCATCCGACGAGCCCCCCCTAGCTACCCGCTGCCGCGCGATATCACGAGTTTGATCACGCTGAACACGTGAACTCCAGCAAAACCCGTGATCTGGCACTCACCGCCCAGACCACGCCGCAAAGCACATGATCTGAAGGTATGCGACCTGTCCCATTTTTCTGGCGATCTTTACATTGGTCCTATCGTTCTCCATTTCAATCGCACTGCACAGCGACGCAAGGCAGAGTTTTTTCTGCATCGTTGCTTTTGCTCATTGCGCCATTTCCTGAAATACTGCCTTCATCAAGCATATATCTCGATGTTGCCCGTCAGCCCTGATCAAGCGATCTAAGATGAATTTCTTCCGCATTGCGAAGGAGGCATAATCCGCTTCAAACAGACCCATCCGGGCTATTTACACACTCAAAACGCGCTTATTCGGAGCACGGCGAGGCCTCTAGATGGTTTCGGATATCATCAAAATCTCTAGGCTCACTCACCGCAACTCATCATGCGGTCCCTTTATGGCAAACATGCTACAGAATATGCCTGGAAGTGGCTCACGCATGTCAAGTGCAAGCGCTCTTGCCATCCTGACTCACACAAGATAATCGCTCCTTCGAGATCGACCATCTCAATTTGTTGTCTTCCACTAATGCACTTAACCCTTTGCTCACTCGGCCATCTTCGTCCTCTATACTCTGCGGGCTGATTCACACATTGTTCTCGGGTGCTAACCTTTCTTCCAGTCCCGCGATTCATCCTTGTGGCTTCGAACTGTGCTGACCTCGAGGCTCCGCCAACTGTCCAAGGCAGAGACAGTGCTGCGTAACCTTTCAATCTAACAGCAAAGCCCCATTATCGCAATAATGGCAGATGTCATGGTCGATCACCCAGAACTCTCTGAGCTGACGGGCTCGCCCTCGCCTGGTCAAAAGCGGAAGCGCGATGACATGTCAGAGTCCAACAGCCCTGGTCGAGCCAAGCGAGCTAGCGCTGGACTCTCGGACGCCGATACTGCAGCCTTCATTGAGAACGCTGTGGAAGCTGCTCATGCCGCCGCTGCTAATGGCGTCAACGTGGCCGACTTCAGCGCTCTCCAGCAAGCTGCCGCCGCCGAGCACTCGGAGGCGGCTGATCCAGCCAACGCCTCTAGCACCGCCGCCGCTGCCCTTGGATCCATGTATCCTACTCTTCATGTCCCATCAACCACAGAGGAGCAGTTCGCCGCCCAGACGAGTAATGAGCCGAGCCATGGCCAAGACCATACCTTTGGTCACCCCGATCTGAGCCCGCCGGATGGACTGCCTGCCCTCCCTCCTGTACCTCAGCCCACGAATGGTGTCCAGGCTGTCCAGCAGCAGCAGGCTCATCAAACCCACCAAGCTCTTCAGCAACATCAGCAGCATCAGCAGCACCAGCCCCCGCAGCCCCAGCATCGTTATTCATCTGGATCGGTGGGTACCCCCGCTAAGAAACCAGATGTTGGCTCTGAGGAATGGCACAAGATGCGCAAGGATAACCATAAAGAGGGTAGGCATTCCTACGCACTGTGCTCAGATGTTCATGCTGACTCGAACAGTGGAGCGACGTCGTCGGGAGACCATCAACGAAGGCATCAATGAGTTGGCCAAGATTGTTCCTAACTGCGAGAAGAACAAAGGATCAATCCTTCAGCGCGCCGTCACGTTCATCAACCAACTCAAGGAGAACGAAACGCAAAACATTGAGAAGTGGACCCTTGAGAAGCTGCTTACGGAGCAAGCCATAGCAGAGCTCAGTGCTTCCAACGACAAGCTCAAGCAAGAATGCGAACGTCTCTATAAGGAATTAGAGACTTGGAAGCGCGTTGCCCAGAACGCGGGTCTTTCGTATCCTCAGGCGAACAAGGAGGAACCGGCCTCGGCGGCTTAGGAGGCCCCAGCTCAAGCCGAAGACCCTTTTCCGGCTGACTTGGGCCAAGGTGTGATCCCAAACGGTTTACCCGTTAGCCAGATGGACGTTTATCACCGTGTCCCTCAGCATCACCCCTCGGCTGCACATAGCCCTCCTTGCCGACCTCAGACCCCGGCTCCCGGCACTGTAGCGCCCCGGCAGGTTACCCGCGCCGACGTAGCGACCAACCAAATCCAAGCTCAGGCTTCTGTCGAAACTGGTTCTTCACCTTTCTTTTCATTTTATACCCCTAGTCAGCAATAAGCTGCTTTTTTTTGGTGTCCCCCTCCCCTTTTTTACTCGGATTACCCAACACGGTTCCTGTAGTCGCAAATACACTATAGTTTATAATCAGCCACGCTCTTTGGCTTTCGTTCTATCTCCGTCAGGTGGACGGTTTGACCTTGGCGTTGAAGAAAGTTTGGTCTTTCGTGTACAGAATATGCATATGGCTAGGTGCTGGCTGATAATAGTTTGAACCTCTGAGCGTGCCCCATACTAAATGACAAATGACACATCTATATTGGCCACAGTAGTTTCACTATTGAAAGTGTAGGGTAGGTAGGAACTCATGCGGTGCGGCGATCTAGAGAGAGAAACACCACAACCTCCATAAGCAACACAAGATTCCTCCCCGATCGGTGGACGACTTGCTCTGATCAGAGCAAGATCAGTCCTAATCAGGAGGACTGAAGATCCTAATCAGGCGAAGTCTTCTCCCGATCGGATGAGTAGAAACTCCCGATCAGTCTTGTGTTATCACGATCAAAGGTCAATCATGAGAAAGGCTCGCTCGATCAGGATATAGGTAAGTGTAGGAAAAGTGTCGAATTCGTTGATGATGTCTCTATCTATCTGTCTGTCTCCCGACTTGTAGTTCTTCACCCGATTGATGCAATAATACTCCGATGAGCGACTCGCGCGAAACCTCTTGGGCTGATCACCCCGCCCTATTCCACAATGTCTGCCGTGAATGTGCCCGCCATGTTTGAGGTTGATATGACCATGTTGACTGACATGAGGATAGGGTATGCTGAGCTTTCTGGAGGCGAGGAGGACAGGTAGGGGCAACGGAGCGACGTATTACATAGGCGTGAACTTAGCACTTGCACCTGAAAGGGGTGAGGGGCTCGGGTTAAACACGACATTTAGATGAAGAGAATCGGCTGCTACTGGTCGAAACCTAATGGCAGAAGGTATCTGACTACATGGAGGCGCTGGAGAGGCAGGGACATCCTACGATCTGGGCCTCACCAGGGTGAAGAGATTACAGTATACGATTATTGTCTCCTGTCTTTGCGGTTGCCGACGTCAACAGGGCAAACTTTTGTCTCCGATGCATGTCCTAGGACGCTACCAGAGAGTTGAAATATGCTCGAGAGTACGAGGTTCGGACGGCCGGGTTCTTTTCAACATGTATTACATGTCACTCTTGCCTTCTCTGGTCGTCGCAGTCGTAATTTCCACGGAACTACGGTACAGAGGAGCACAGGGAGGGGGCAAGAAAACGGATAGCGACAGTAATGGTTCCGATGTAAGCCGGAACCTTTGGCGTGCTCATGTGCGGGTGTCAAAGTTGATGACGAACTCTATAGATTCGTTTATCAGTAAGCTAGTGATGTCGGATTTCAGGCGGATTGTCGAGATCGGTGCCTCAGACGACGAAAAGAGGTCATGTAATTCCATTCCATGGAGTGAGTCGGGTAAGTATGCAGGTTTCCTGCCATATTCGGCATCTCCACATACTCGCGCAACATCTTTTGGAATTAAGGGGCAAATAGACCCAGATAAATGCTGAGATGAGCTTGCGTATTGATGCGTCTACCCGACGTTATATTAAGGGCTATATAAAGCAAATGAGGATATCTGCAACGCGTTTGATGATGTGGTCCTCCGCGTTACAAAGTATCAGCACAGCATTCCCCTTTCCCTTCGCCCCCCGAAGGTGTTGTATGGGGGAAAGCCCATCGTGACATACCCCCCGCATCCACAAAACATGGCATGCTGCTTTGCTCATGAACACGTAAGTAGGCGCCATCATCGACGCTGGGGGGAGGGGGGGGTGAGGCCTGGCCCTCGCAGCGGGATTCCGGAGTCCGGCTCCGGAACGGAGAGGCCGTCGAGGCCATGCAGCGCATTTCCTGCGGCTTGCCCGATACTTTCTGCAGTGAAAAAGTCAAACAACACCCCCTTGTTTTGTTTTTCCTCCTTGATTTGTGGCTCTGTCAGGGAGTCGGGGCTGACTGGTGGCTGTCTTGTTTGCGCGTAAGACAACGCGGCGTGTACAGATTCGTCTTACTGCGTCTTAGCATACTTGGCGGTCTACTGCCGAAAATATGGAGGTTAAGGTATACGGGCGTGAGGAGACTCGGACTACCGTCTCCAGATGAAGTGATTTTGAAGTCCGCCTGTTCGGCGCGGCTCCAACCTGGCGGGACTGTCTTGTTTACCAGACTAGTATTCGTTCCTGCAGACTTGACCCCTTTCCCAATCGTTCTCTTCTAGCCGTATAACCCCCTTGAAATGAACTCCGAATCATTGGCACCCATCGCGTCACCATAGAAGCCCTCACGGACAATGACGCTTTTCTAATGTGGGCCAACCGAAAAGGGAACGTGGTTGGGTGGCAACCGCAGGAGGAAACAAACTCGGCTCCCCGCTGTCATCTGTAAGAAAATCCCTTCCCTGAGAAAAAGATCCAAGGAGGGCGCACGATTCTCGTGCTTATTTATGGTACATATATGCCTTCCCGCCATCAGTCCCTGCGCACCATACAAACACCTCTCCCCTGCTGTCGGCTCTCTACCCACTCCCCAGTAAATAACCACAACGCACAAACAGGTGTGAGTGGAGAGGTAAAGGACGCGAGAAAGGGAGGGGGGGTGTAGGCGGGCTGAAGAGGGAGGGTAATGGGAACGCTCCGCAGCGGGAGCCAACTCGGGCCATGCAAGTAGCCCTCCTCTCCCACCCCGTCTCCAAATCATATCACCAGAAAATCAAGGAAAAAGAAAGCTCATAACACACATCATCTGTCAGGAAAGCAGGAGACGTGGTGCAACAGGGGGAGGGGATGAGGGGGGTCAGATGTCCGAACAACGACGAGCTTGAAATGGAGGGGCGTGTGACGTTCACGGGTCCAAAGTCCAAAAATAAGGTTGTTTGGAAGGGGAAACCACGAAGAGGACGGATAGGAAACAAAAAGGGGGGGGGGAGATCCGACAAATCTCGGAATAAGGTATGAGGTGTGGCACACCGCGGCCGGTGACTGGCCGCCCGGCGACTCCACTTCTTGACCGGTATGCGGGGCACCGGTGACCGGGGTATCACCCCCCTCCCTTTTCCCTTCCCTCATGCCCCGGCGAGGAAGTTCACGACTCGACCGGCCCCTTGCGGCCTTGCCGGGCCTCCGCAACGTACTTTTCCAACACTCCCCCCCCTTCCCTACCTACGCCTCAGAAAAGAGGTCATATTCGATGAGTCACCTATTCTGTTTCCCCCCTACCCGAGAAAGCGGGACCGAGATGTACCAGGGTCGCTGGCAGTGTAGTTCATGTACGGCTACAGCCCCGAAACTCTACTGTCGCAGTTCGTCCCCCCCTCATCCTGCGTCTGTTCCTGCTTCGTTGGTTACCTGTCAGATCTGTCCGGTCGTGTGCGTGCAAACAAATCCACTCCCCCCCCTCCTGTGTCTCCTCCTTTCTTGACGTTCCTCACCTCTCACACCCCGTTTTTGCCCCCCCCCCCCCCCCCCCTGACGTCCTGGACCCCTTAATCCCCCCTCCCCCCATGAAGATACTGTGGAAACCACTGTTTGTTTACTCGCCATATTTCATGCCGGTGCAAACGCAAAAAACGTGGGAACCTTCGGAAACCCACCGATTGGCGCAGCTGGAATGAGAATACCTCCACACCCACCCACCTCCCCCCCCCTTCCAAATACGTTTTCTTGGAAAGTTGTAACCTCACGCTTAAGTCAGCCTAGCCTCGGATCTGCCGAGGAGTCTCATCGATGCTCGGGTCCAATGAGGCTGACGGCTCTCTGAGACACCAATACACAGACACGCACTAGACCAGATAACAAAGAAGGACGCGGTAGTGCCCGAGGTCATATCAACGACGGACCTCAGATCATGCGGACGGACAAGGAAACATTGCGATTAGACCGCCGTTCATTAATCACCTATCTATAGCGGCATTCGTAAAAGATCACCCCAGGTCGAACCTCACAGGGCTCTCAAGAAGAAGTTCCCCGGAAAAGCTCCAAACAAATAAACTACAAAAAAACTCCGTCATAACATCATGCCAGACCTTCCTTTCCCAGTCCAATCTTTTTCTCGATTTTTTCTTCTTCTGGGCATGTTTACTTCCTCTAGCGATGCCTCTGGGCATAGCTCCTCCCCTCCGTCTGTGATTCAAGCGCCTCCACTGGTAGGAAGTTCATAAAAGGCTGGAACGTCCAAAGCCGGCAATATCGCCACAAAAGGAAGGATTTCAAAAATAAAACAATCGTCCGGCACATAGCAATGGCCAACAGCTCTCCCTAGTGAGCCCATTCGTGTTCGCTGATGCTTGGGTAAGTAAGGTGGAGCCCGGAAAAGACAAAGCTCGTTCATGACGACGTAAATTGTGCCACCCTCATATCCGTCTCGACCCCTCGGAAAACAGAAACTCCGTTCATCGGGCTGTGGGCCGTTCCTATGGAAGCAGCCCGATCTGGTGTTGAAATCACCAGCTCCCGCCGTTCGCATTGTTCCAATATCCATTACCCCGGAACCGCTGTCGCTAGTTGATGCGCTCCAGTATGCTTTCGATGTCAAGTGTCGCTTTTAGACCCGCAAATGATATAAAAACGGAGATGCCGCTCGCGGAGGTAATCGGCCAGGTCGCGGCGACATGGATACTAAATAGTTAAACACCTGGCTGCACACATTTCCATCCCTTTCTTTGGCGTCCCAGTGTGGGACTTGATGGCTTTGAAC